GGCTGAGTCACCTCTTTCCAAAACCCTTAACACCTCCTCACCCTCAGGCCTTGCTCACTGTGTTCCTTCTGCCTGGAGCACCCTTTCCCTTCTCCTCCCACCTCTTCTCTCCTCTGCCGGCTCCCCACCTCCAAGCAACACATTGAAATGGGTCAAGTCCACAAGTCTCCTCTTCCTCCCCTGTTCCCAGCAGCGCTCTCCCAACTCAGACCTGCCCTATCCAGCCTTCCTGACTCCTCCCTCCCTCCTTCCCTCCCTCCCTTCTTTTTCTCCTATTTTGCTGGGTATTTTTCTTTCCTGGCTCAGCCTTCTCGGCTCACTTCCTCTGCACTTGACTTCCTCCACTCCAGCCTGAACCAGGAATTCCTCCTGTCTGTTTGCCTGAGACCTTCTCCCTGAGGACAGCCCAGGGTCAGGACAGCCCATACCCCAGGAGGCCAGGGCCCCCTCAGGAAGTGATATGGGGCCTCTCCCTTCCTCCTGGCCTTGCAGGCTTGTGTGGGTGAAAAGAAAGTGTCCTAAACATCCAGGCAGAAGCAGCTTCAAGGGAGGGAGGTACAGTGACTGGGGAAGGATGTTAGGGAAGACAATGACAGCAAGAAAACCGGAAATAGTCCTTGTGGTCAGAGGGAATAATGCTGTTCCTCTCCAAAGGTGGATGCCCCGTCCTGAGCCACAGAATCTGGGAGGGTGTTCCCTTCCTTAGCAGAAGGTCTGTAGCTGTGATTAAGAGTTTGACGATGGGGAGAATACTCTGGATCATCTAGATGGGCCTGGCGTGATCACAGGCTTCAGTTTCCGAGGGCGATGCGATCAGAGAGAAAAGGTTCATAGGACTGGCTCCAAAAGCGCAAGAAGGTGTGTGTGAACCACGAAGTGCAGGAGACCTCTAGAAGTCGGAAAGGGCAAGGCAGATTCTCCCCTTGTGCCTCCAGAAGGAGCAGCCCAGTGGGTCCACTGGAGATTGTAGACTTCCAGAAGTGAGGAAGAATTTGGACATGAGATACTGCTCTGCCTGCATCTGGGGAGAGGAGAACGGGCGTGTTAGTGTCTGTGGCTACATGAAAAATTGTTCCAAATGTAGCAGCTTAACATCCACTCATGATTTCTCTGGGTCTCAGGGAATGGCTTAGCCCATAGTTCTGGACTAGGGTCTCACGGCATCGTCATCTTGGGCCACTCCTTTGAACACCTGGCAGGGACTGTAAGATCTGCTCCCAGGTTGCACACAGTTGCAGGTTAGGCTGACTCTTTGCAAGATGAAACCAGGGGTCTTCTCCCGAGGACCAGTTGTCCGTAGGACATGGTCCTTGACCTTGTCCAGAGTGGGTGGCCAAAGAGAGGCAAGATGGAAACCATCTCCCATTGTGAGTCCCATGGCCCACCCTCCTGTGGTACCTTGAGCAGGAAGGGGTCCCATGTGCACATACCCTGGGACTCAGTTGTTGAAGGCCTGCTCTAAGGCTGGCTCCATAGTGTTTGGGGTGGTGACACAGTGGGACCTTGATAGCAGCTTAAGCTGCCAGGTCTCTGCTTGGACAAGCAGCATGACCTCTCTGAACCTCTGCTTGTACCTGAGGAGTAGATGCATTTGACTTTGCCATGGTTCTAGTTCCTGTCTAGCGCTGACATAAAATAACAGATAACATTCTGTCGTGTTAACTGTTTGGCATTTTAAAGAAATATCTCAAAGAGTATAAAGACTACTGATGCTTCTTCTAATGGGGTTGTGTCTCAATAAACCCATTGTAAGTTTTAAATATCAAAACCACATTTAATGCATTCCCCCTCCCCTTTTTTTCTTTTTTGCACAGTACTGGTGATTGAACGCAGGGCCTTCACACTGAGTTTCACTCCCAGACCTTTGAACTGGTTTTTGTTTGTTTGTTTGTTTGTTTTTTGGTACCAGGGATCAAACTCAGGACCTTGCACTTGTGAGGAAGGCACTGGAACCACTGAGCTAAATCTCTGGCCCTTTTGGGGTGTTTTTGAGACAGTGTCTCACTAGAGTGCTAAGTTGTCCAAGTTGAGCTTGAACTTGTGATCCTCCTGCCTCATCCTCCCAGAGTGCTGGGAGGCATGCACCACCATTCTGGGCTGTATACCTATGTTTATAGTGGCACAATTCGCAATTGCTAAGCCGTGAAAACAGCTTAGATGCCTGTCAAGAAATGATGGCTGTGTAAAAAAATTGTGTGTGTGTGTGTGTGTGT